CTGGGGAGCACCAGGTATGGCTCAGTCTCACCTGGGGAGCACCAGGTGTGGCTGGCCCCATGATTCCCTTCCCTTAGGCCGGTTTCCTAGGGACGGTTTTCAGGTAAGGGATGGTGCACTCTGCCACAGGAGGCTGCTATGGTTTGGATATGAGATGTCCCGAGACGCTCATGCTAGGCTGCGTAGCTAGGTTCAGAGATGGAATGATTAGATTATGAGAGCTGCGGCCTCAACAGTGGATTAATCCGTTTGATGAGTTAGTGGATTAATAATGTGAATGGATAACTAGGTGGTAACTGCAGGCAGGTGAGGTGTGACTGTAGGAAATAGGTCACTGGGAGTGTGGCTTTGGGAAGTATATCTGTCCCCAGCCCCTCTAGCTCTCTCTCCTTCTGGTTGTCACTGCCTGAGCACCTTTCCTGCGCCATGTTCTTCTACGCTGAAGTTCTGCCTCACCTTGGGATGATCAGAGAGTGAACCTCTCACACCGTGACCCCAAAATAAACTCCCTGCTTTAAGTTGCTCTTCTTAGGTATTTTGGTCCTAGCAATGAAAGCTGATCAATAGAAAGTCCTCTTTTGGCAAGCAGAGTTTAAAAACAGTATTTATGAATAAAAATAAGAAAAAATAAAGAGAGAATTACATTCTTTGTAGTCATTTTTATTCTAAACTATAAGGAGAGATTAATTTCTATATTTACCAGTCAATTTGGCAAAATCTACTTCTAAAAAGAATGTACATAACTTTTTATGTTGCTTGGGTGGCTAAATGACTTGTGCCAATTATGCAATTAAATTGTACTCTGCTTAGGAAATCTATTAAACTCAAAGAGTACATATTAGCTACCCTAATAATGAGGTTCTACACAACTTCCCACTCTACACACAGTTGAATATTTTACCGTGAGACATGTCATGAGAGTGTGACAGGGATTAAATTTACTTAAAATATCTTAAAACTATACCTACATAATTTTTCAGTGGTAAAGAATTAATTAGGCCAATAAAATATTTGAAATTTTTCAACTACATTTCTAAGTATAGACAAATATATAATTATCAAATTACATAAAAAATTAACAAGCTATAGCCTTTTAAAGCATGTTTTGACAATTGTAACACTTTTGTTGAAATGAAATTTCTGTGTAATTATGCTATTGAAAAAATATATATATATTATAGCTACATTATGTTTTGAATTTCTCATTACTTTGGGCCATATTTTTTCTTTTGTTTTAATAGACATCATTGTTTTAGATCATAGCTTTTCAGGTAATTTTACAAAATAGGGTCTTTTATGGCTTAACATGAAAATACTTTCAGCATATTAATCCAAATTCATTTAACATTTCCTTGGGCAGACGGATGCCTTAAGGTTTAGAACTCTTGACTGTTAAAGGTCAGCGCTGGCCAGCTCTAAGGAAGCCAGCGGAAGTCATTCCAAGTACCTGTTCCTTTCTGAAGTGCTTTGAATCTGACAGCACTGGACCCTGAAGGGCCTTCTCAGCACAACTGCCCTGTGCCGCTGCCATGAATCTGGTGGCAGTGGGCGGCACCAGGCACTAGTGACAGATGCCTCAGTTGAGGACTCCATACGGTCAGCAGAAGGTGCCGGAGTCTCCGTGCAGGGCTGTGGGGCCCCGAAAGCTGGAGTGCATCTCGGAAGTCCCATCTCGCTTCTCAAACAGAGTCTTCTTATAATTCGAACTATCACCTTCCACAGGCACATGAACTCCTGGGTGGGAATGCTCCGCGGGCTTATGTTCTTACTGCATCCAGTGTGGACAGGGTACTAACACACATTGAGGGCCTTCAGGAAGTCTTCTGGATAGCCCCTCTAATTGCAACCAAATCTCATGTTATGATACAATTTTAGGTGAATCTCATGCTGCAGTTTTTTGTTTTGTTTTGTTTTTTTTTTATACTGTTCATGACCTTATTGGTAAAAAAAAAAAAAAAAAAAAAAAAAGAACCATAACTAAGAATCCTGGTCTGGTAAAGTTCTCGGCCACAAAGGGGTCTGGCCTTGGCTGTTGCTCTGGGAGGTCCCCCTGGACACCTGCAGGAAGGCTTGGAGTGGGGTGAGGCTGGTACCACTGGTAGTGCTGGGGGGGGCTCGTGGCCACACCCGGAAGACCTATGGTGGGATTCAGGCTGGTTATGACTCTGATTGTCCACTTGGGTCTCAGCTGGCAATCACCCATGTCCATGGGACGCAGCCCATAGAGACTTTGATGCTATGGTTCAGGTGAGCATTCCAGGTGGGCGGCACTCTGTATGTGGTTGCAGGTTGATGCGGAGCCAGCTGTGTGTCCTCTCCTCCCTGCCTGTGTGTCCTCCGGCTGGACGACTCCCACACCCCTTTTCCTGTTAGCAATGATGAGCATGTTGTAGTTTCTTGTACCTTCGTGAGTTTCTGTGATACTGGACCCCAGGCTCGTTTTGGAGTCTGAAAGCTTAAGTCTCACAGTCTGGCTGACTCTGGGTGGGATTCCACACCATGATGGAATTAGAATATACGGCTTCACTTCAAAGTACATCAGCAGAAGGGTATTTGGTTATTTTCATACTAACAAAATAATTCTAAACCAAACCAATTTTTTCCATATTGTAAAATTCAACTAAAAGTAATGAAATCAAATTAAATATTTAATCATTCTTCTTCAATATCAACCCAAGGAATCTACTTTACATGAATTCAAATTCAGGGAAAAATAAGACATAATTTTAATTCTGGCAATTTCAAAGTGATTTATGCATATAAATATCAGTTTTCTAGGTAGTGCTGGAGGATGGACCTACTCATGCTAACCACCTGCTCTACCACTGAGCTACAACTCCAGCCCTAAGTGTGTTTTTAAGTGGAAAGTAGTAAGAATTAAAGGTTTTTAAAAATGTCTTAATGAAAGAAAGACCAGATAATTGCTCATATGCTTAGTCTCACAAAGCCAATTTATAATAAATATTGAGCCAAGATGAGAAATTTTCATGTACAGCCAAGATTATTCTCTTCATAATTGTTTTTTAATGGAAAATATAGGTGAAATTTGTGACTTTTAAGGTCTACTTGACTTGCTTGCTTTGCTTCTTCAGTAGAAATCCAAACCTGGATAGTCTCTCCCTTTCACCGGGGGGTAAAGTGCTCAGCATTTCAAAGCTGCACGGAGCTGGCCACTTTCTTTCTTCGTTCAAAGGTACTGTGTTTATAAGGCTAGAACACTGGGTTTCCAGGAGATTTTCCGTTACACATCATTCCTCCTAAATGCTGTACCTCCTCAATTCATTTCACCTTGGTATTGAAAAAACGTCTAAGTGATAAAAATTGGAGGTTATAGGGAATCTGTGAGAAAGGACCCAGCACAGAGGAGGGGGCGTCCAGTGAGCCCGGGTCATGCTCCACATCTGTAGGATCCTGACAGCATCTCCCTGGAGTCCCCAAGGCCAAGCTCCTGCTCCGAGCCTGCTTATACCTTCAGGGTTCTCTATGTCCACAAAGCACTATTTGCCCATCAGGGCCCACTGCAAAATGGACTTGGTGTCACGAGACACAAATGCGATGTGCGATTACAAGAAGACAGACCTCAGATCAAATCCACAGACACCCTTCTCCCCTCTGATCTCACACTTTGAGGGACCATTGTGCTCAGTGCTGTTTTCCCTCTCTTCTTCTGCACCTCCGCTCCACCCGCTCCTTGGCCTGGGGTTGCAGTATAATTGTTTATTCACTTGTCATCCTTATAGTTCCCTTGAGACCAGGGCCTATTTGGGTTTTTAACATTTTAATATTTGGTGATATGTTCCTAAACTGCTAAGTGGCGTGAGTGTCACACAGGAGATTCTCAATAAATATTTGCTGAATAAATGGGTGAATTGCTGTACATGTTCATTTAATATTTGCTGCACTGCTACAACCATGAGAAGTTAAACTGCCCCCGAGAAGGACGACGGACCCACCGTCACATCGTGGGAAGGGGTGGTTCCAGTTTCTGTTGATGCCGTGCTGACAGGTGAGGACGGGGTGGCCCAGGAGGACGTACCCTGGGTAGCACTCAAACGATATGGACTGCCCCACACTGTAATCCGAGTTGGTCATGTACCCGTTCTGGAAAGGCGGTGGGTCCGGGCAGTTCTGCAGTTCATAGGCTGAAAGGCAAACAGAGGGCAAGAGGTGAGTCAGGCTTTCTGAGGACCAGTGTGGCTGGCTGCACACAGCTTCTGAGGTGGACTTTCCCGACACAGGCTCTAAGAAATGTCTTTCCAAGGAGTCAGTTGCCATCCTGAATAAATTAAAGAATAATTATCAGCAATAGTGGAGTTACAACCACACACATTTAATGAGTACTTACTGTGTGCTTTAGAGGAAATATAGCATATACCAAAAAATAAAATTGACAATATTTACCTTGGAAAGAAGGTACAATTTAATTTGAAAAGTAATATAAATGATGATAAAAATTGCCTATAAAGAATACTGAGTTAGCATGGGCCCAAAGCTTTTTCTTTTTCTTTGTAATTTAACAGAGAAATAGGTAAGAGTGGTTTACCTTGTGATCATACCCCTCAGTGGCTCTGAGACTTTTCTTTTTTTTTCAGGATAATATATGGCTTTATTTTCTATATGAGAAAAAGCAGATAATTTAACAATAGAAATCACATATATATCTTGTTTCCCAGATGAACTCTATATTTCTAGTGAATGAAATCCATGTTTTAAACTTAGAGTCTCCTATTTCATTGAACGTGGCTCCCTGAACTTGCTACTCATGGAAGGAAGAGAGGTTCAGCTCTGAGTGAGCACGTTGCCCTTTGTGGGGAAGCAGCAGAAGGCAGGAGTAGAGCTCTATGGGAAAGACATGCCTCGCAGCAAGATCTCTTAGCTGCTCACTACATAAATTTTAGATAGATCATTTAGCATTTCTTTTATTTATTTGTTCTAATTAGTTATGCATGACATCAGAATGTATTTCAGTTCATTGTATGCAAATGGAACACGATGTTTCATTTCTCTGGTTTTGCAGGATGCAGAGTCCCACCATTTGTGCAATCGTATGTATCCCCAGGGTAATGAAGTCCTTCTCATTCCACCATCTTTCCTACCCCCAGGCCCCTCCGAACCTCTCCCCCCGCCCCTTTGCCCACTCCAAAGTTCTCTGAGGCCTTTTTTTAAAGGACCTGGTTTTCTTCCTCTTCTCCCTCTCCTCCTCCCTAACCTGAGTGCAGGGAACAAGATTACCCTGAGTTATCTGTGCTCCACAGGAAGGAGATGTCTCCAGAGGACCTAGAAGTGACAAGGGAATCCCAACACACCATCAGGGTGACGTGGGACCCCCTTCTTTAAGGAAGTCTTTGAGTAGCTCTTTAACAGCTGGGTTTTCCCTGATGGTCAGACTCACAGCCTCAGGGAAGGAGTCCCTGTGTTTCTCCTTTTCTAGTAAAGCAATAAACCTTTTCTTTCCTTTTTCTGAAAACCACGTACTCATTATTAAATTATCACGGATTAGCACTGGGGCAATATACTTCCCATATGACCACTACAATCTAAGTGCTTTCAACCAGAAACATGAACTGTAGTCGTATTGTTTTGCCTAACTTTATTTATTACACATAAAATAGGGAAATCCATTCCATTTTCTTTAATTTTTCTAAAAAAAAAAAAAAAAGTAAAAATAAGACTGTGGAATCACGAAGGTGGTAGTTGCTCTGGGCACAATTTTACGATTCGGAGTTCACCATGCTTTGTCATTAACTTGGTGCTCCTTGGGAGAGGGGCTAGAGGACCAGACCACACCTACTGTTTGCAGCCCATGCTGCTAAGTTCTGCCCATTAGTAAGAGTTAGCTAGTGTGTGGAGTGGGTGCAACTCCTGAGGTGACCCTGTGGCTAAAGAGCCCTGCAGGCTGGAGCACACCCACACAGAACTGGGGTGGGGACTCGCTCTTCACAGTGACAGGCTGAGGAGGAAGCTGCTGGGAGCCACGCCACCACCTTCAGGCCAGCTACCCAGGACCCCCGGGACCCAGTGAAACAGAAAGGACTGGTGACTCTATAGGACTGACGGCAAACAGAGCAGTGACCAAAGATGCAGGGACCCCAGAGAGCTGGCCCTAGGGAATGGCCTGGAAGAAAATTCCAACCCTGCAGGTGGACAGTTTAGCCATCAGCACCTGGAAGAGGGTGGGTTATCTGAAATCTGTGAACTCACACTGAGAGATCATTCTCTCTACAGCGCCTGCTGGGGGCTTTCTGGATTTTGGACTTTCTGATTTAACTGCCTGAAGTGGAGGGGAGGGACAGGAGTGAGGGGACAAAGGGAGCAGGCAGCTCGCAGGGCCGGAGTTGCTGGTGGAGGTCCACACAGAGTCTTAGAGCACAACACAACCAGAGGGCGCAGAGCAGGAACTGGCTGTGTTCACGGTCTAGTCGGGATAACCCAAGGTGGACCACCATGGCCAGATGTCTGCCGGGATAATCAGGGTGTGCAGGACGGGGGCTCTTGCCAGTCAGAAGAGCGGGGCTTCCTCAACACCTGCCGAATGCTAAGTCCTAGGGAGATGTGAAGTTTCACCACCATTCCTATGTTTTCTACATTTCGGGGACTTCTAAAAGGACATGTTTTCTCCTTAAAATAACCATATACAATGATATTAGGTCATCTGGATGACTCACTGATGGCCACATGATCAGGGACCCTCTACAAAAGCAGAGTGAACAATGCTGCAGGAAAACTGGGTTTAAGGCTTAGCCTAGGAAGTAATGACATTTACAGGGATCGCTGCTCTGGGAACCTTCAGAGAAGAAAAGCTGAATGTTTAAACATGTTAATTGCAGACTTATTTACACTAGAGTAATCCAAATGTCTCAGCAAATTATGATGTATGGACTCAGGTGCCACACAGTCACTTTGCTCAGTCTTACGCGCGCACACGCACGCATACACACACACACACACACACACAGCCCCAAGCTGCTATGTGCAGCTCCAGGCTTTTGACTTGGCAATGATGTGGAAGTTCCGCCACACTCTGGCTCTCATTCCATCTTCTCCTGGGTTAGTGATGTGCGGCAGGATCCTCTCCTGATGCTGGTGGCAGCCGTGAGCCTGGCCAAGGGCCTCTGGTCATGACCCTCCAGGGGGCTTGTGCTGGACCCTGGTGCCGCACAGACAAGGGGCACTGAGTGCATTTCCAGCTCATGATGGGCCTCAGGCCATGAGCATGTCAGAATCCAGGAGCCCCTGTGTCCATACACACACAGGAATGTGAGTTCTCTAGACGCCCAGTGTTGCGAGATCCGTGGCTGACAACAGATCAAAATGGGTGGATCCCACCTGTAGCCGCAGGCCCACTTTTCAGTGCCCCCAGGTTGTAATGGTTATCATACGCGCAGTGTCACCACATCTGACCCCAGCTGATGAGCAGCTGGAGAGCACAGGAGTCAGTAGGCATGGCCCACTGTACCATGAAGCAGGGGCAGCTGTTGATGCTGAGCGACTTGCTAACCCGGAGCTTTCTTTGGATGAGTGGCCCTGAGAATCAGTATGGAGACCAAAGACAAATTGGCAACCAGAGAATGAATGTGCTTACCCATACATGCACACATGTGGTTTGTCATCTTGAAATACCATTTATAACAAGGGTCTAATTGCCAAGTGGGTGTTCTAGTGCTGCTTTTGGCAAAGCTGGATTGCACACAGGACTACTGAGTCAGCTGCCCAGCGCCTTCCGTAAGGGTCTCCTGCAGAGGTGATGACTACAGGGCTGGCCCTCAGCACGGTTAGTTGGAGCTCTCACATGGTACTTGAAAGACCAGACACTCAGAGGATCTGCTAGTGAGCGTGTACAGAACGCCAGAGCGTAGGGCCAAGTGCAGGCCTGTCTCGCTCGCCCTGACGCATGCACCCAGCACCCCCATATCTCTGTTCCCCTACTGCGCTGCTCCCCGGCCACCCTAACCCAGAGCACCACAGAAGGCCACAGGAGGCTGTTCCTGCAGCAGGGCCACATGTCCTAGAGAGAGGCCCAGTGCGTATGGCTGAGATTGCTCTGCAGACCTGTGCACTTAGATGGTGTGGACAGTCCAGGCTGGGCTCTGACCTTCAGCAATGTTCCTGCCGGGACAGGGGCTGGCCTACCAGAACCAGCTGCTTGCTTCGCATTTCAAGGTTCCCCGGAGTCTCCTGCATTCCAACAGCTCCATGGAGCTTCCTCTTTGAGACTCAGTATCTTTCTTTTTCATTTCTCAAAACTGCATTAAGTATAATATGATCTTCAGTGGAAAACTTTGCTCATGACTTAGCAGTGCCGTGGAGGTGCCTCACGGACATCAGTGACCACACACAGGGCACTGGTGATGGGCATTGCTGGTATGCATGCACAGCAGGCAGCAGGGTTCAGCACAGACATCTGCAGAACACAGTCCTAGGCAAATGAATATGCGCAGTCCCCTACCTCCTTGTGCAGTTTGTGGGGTGATTAACTTCACTGCAGCGAAGTTCACATCGGGGTATGTGAACCCAGAGCAAAAGGTCCAGGCCTTGCACCGTCCATGTCAACAACCAGGTTGAGGTGGAGCATGCAGGCTGTTTCCAGCTTCTCGCCCATGAGGCTCTGCGTCACAGCTGTAGGCTGCTCTCCTAGTTACTCAGGAGTGCTCCTTCTTTTCTAGATGGCATGTGCATCACGACTGGCTGCCCATAGAATATCTCACAGGTACAGTATCCCCACTCCCGCCATTCACAATGGCTACGATGACATGCACTAAGGGAGAGCTGCGAGCTTGTAATCAGAACCAAGTCCCCAGCTGCCCGCTCTACATAAAGGTGGTTTAGTTGCTGCTCCTGAAGGGAAAATTGGTGTCCACTAAACAGCCCACTTCCCATAAACCTGATTCACACAGAACCCACAGCTTTGGGACTGTAGTGATGAATATCAGATTTACCATAACCTATTGTCTTCTAAAAATGACGTATGTCTGGCACATATCTAGCAAGAGCAGGACGAAAAGAGTAGACCTCTGGAAAACAAAGATCTTTTTAACTTTCTATGGCTAAAGTACTTAAAATCACCTTTAAGACTGTCAGCACTGGACAGCTCCATCCCCAGGCTGTAAGTGCTTTATCATGCAGGGGACAAAAACAGACACAG